GCATCATTAAAAAATTTTTTGTCATGTTCGCAATTCCCACAAGAATTTTGACATTTTTATTTATTTCCTATTTAAAAATTTCATTTTTTTATTTCCGATTTCTTTAATTTCTAATTAGGTATTTGATATTCAGAGTTGTTTATATATGGGTGCATTGGGTCGTTGAATTTTGACTTTTTGCTATGATTTGCTTTGGGGCAATCATCAGCGTCTCCTAGGGTTCCAAGTGATGCTCCCACTGTATCTTGGTCTCCAAGTGATTTTTATCCTTCCTATACATTTTCCCCAATCATTCCTACAATGCTCCCACATCCCGTTCATTGTTTTCCCCGCTACCTTCCCCTTGAGGTCATCTCTTCTCCATTGTAACCCACACCTTCCAGCCTGTTGGCCGACCCCCTTGCCACCTCCACGGAGGTCAAAACACCAAATATGCACCACCTGCACACTAGATCCAACCCTAGTTCTAGTGTTATGTTGCTTTGTTGTTTTGTTGCGATTTCCAATTTCTTAGCTATTGTAATTTCAGATTTTTAAGTCGGTAATAACATTATTTTTCCATTGGGTGTTTGATAAATTTCGACATCATTTGGCATGAGAGCTAGCCCGACACCCCTTGTTGATTTTCAAAATCAGCAACCCTAATTTTTTTTATGCAACCCTAAATCAGCCACATAAGCCCACTTTCACGTCCCAAACCTAAACCCTACCCAAGCCACCAAGGAAACAAGTGTCGGAAGCCATCGAGAACTTATCATGAAAGAGATGCAACGGGAAATCAGCTGAATTCAACAAATAATCGCAGAAATTGAAGAAGGGGCCCTCTTTTACCTCCAAAACATAAAACCTAGCCATGCCCCCAGCAGAGAAGTGTCGAAAGCAGATCGAAAACTTATCATGGAAAAGATGCAACGGAAAATCCAACTTCAGCAAATACTTGTTGAAATTGACGAAGGGACCCATGAAAAGATCGTCGTCGATCGTGATGGTGAGATTCAGAGAGAAGTTGGAAAATCTAAATCACTTCCATAGTGATGATCACAGTGAAGAGGAGAATAGGCCACAGCGTTTTGGGATTCAAAATCAAAAGAAGCCTAGAGTGACTTTTGGAGAACATGGAGACATTGGGGTGAAGGTAAACTTACTAGATTTCGATGGGAGAATGAATCTGGATGATTTTATTGAGTAGTTGCAGACAATTGAAAGTATTTTTTTAGTATAAAGAGATGCCGTTAACAAACGAATAAAACTTGTTGCCATAAAATTGAAGAATAACATCTCTCTGTGGTGGGAGAATCTGATGAAGGTGAGGTAGAGAGAAGGCAAGAGCAAAATAATCTCATGGGAAAAGATGAAGAAGGATATGCAGATAAATTATCTACCCCCACACTAACGCCAACACATGTTCTTAAGGCCACATCACTTGTATCAGGGGGAGTTGTTAGTAGAATAGTTCAAATTAAAGTCTGAATAATTCATGCAAAAATGTGAGCTAAGGCAGCCAGAGAAGAACACCATAGTCACATATTAGAGAGGTCTAACGTCAGCCATCAACCTTGTTGTTTAGTTGCAACCTTATTGGCCATTAAGTGATGTACAAATATTGGCCCTGAAGAAGGAGAAACAACAAAACCAGACCAGAACCCTGCCGCCATTTTGATAGTCACCAACGGTAGGAATAGCCAGTAGGAGTACACCTGAGAAAGGTGTAAAAACTGTCCTAAAAGATGTTAAAATTGATTAGAGTGGGAAGAAATCCGAAAAAAACAATAAACCTGGCATAGTACACACAAAGAAGTGTTTCAAATGTCATAGGCTTAGAAACATCGCCTCCAGTTGCCCTACTACCAGAGTTGTATCTTTCACTGAGCAAGGAATAATAGAAGAACTGGACAATGGTATTAAAAACATAGAAGATAGTGAGGATGGCAGGAGTACTAGCTTCCAACTGATGAGAGCACGAAGAAATTCACGTCCCAGCCTGAGGCTTGAAATTAACCAAAACAGAAATGGACGGTCGGACGCTGAAAATCGATTTTTTACTATTTTATTTCTATCACTAACAATTTAATATTCAGATATTCATGAAAGAACAACTAAAGAAAGCAATTTGATTAACAAGTAGAAATTTGTATCATTGCAGTTGTTGTTCTCGCCTCCTATACACATTGGTCCTTTCTATTCATTTTGTTCAAAAGCTTAAAACCTAAAAAATATTAAAACAACATAATGAGTTACTTAAATATAACTCATGAGTAATCATACTTCTAAACTACATTAACCCAAGAAAAATAAATCACTATGTATGCTAGTCATTTACATCTCTATAAGAAATCTTATAATATACTAGTCATTCATATTTTTATAAAAAATATTATATAAACTAATGCATGTATCAATGATTTCCTAAATTAAAATACTCAAATCCACTATATACATTTACTTAGACTTTATATTCTTTACATACACATTTGTATGTTTGAGGATGACCGTCAACAAAACCTAACACACCCCTGACAAATATTACCCTATCGGCCCAACGATTAGCAATTTAGCATCACAATTATCCTGAGTGAAAAGTCTCTCACCTGCCCCTGACTGATATTAATTCATCGACACAACAATTAGGAATGTAAACATCACAATTATCTAGGGTGATAAACTTTGTCTACTCACCCCTAGTCACTATTGTCTCGTCGGCACAGCGATTAATGATCTAACCATCATAATTGTCTGGGATGGTCAAAAAATCTCTACGCGTGCGAGTGCACTAGCGTCCCCTGCCTATACTATTAGAGGGAGAACTCCCCTGAACATGTGCATACAAGCATTCATATATAAGTTGTTTCATTCTTCATAACATGTATTCTTTTGAGGCATCTTCATTCATCTACTAACATGCATACTTACTCTGTTGCGCAACTATTCATTATACACATCTCTTATATTATTCATATTTTTTTATCTCATGCATATCTCTTATATCATGCAAATATTTCCTATCATTTATATCTTTCATATCACGTATTATACAAAAGCAATGCTTAAACTTAAAGAAAAATTTTATAAGATGTGGTGAAACCTACAATGCTTTATAGTGCATAATGTTGCCCTGTAAAAGAGAAGCATAAAATTAAGTGTTGTTGAGATGAGAATGATCGGGTTTTGGCTTTATACTTAGAAACAAAATGTGAACGAATATATCTGTTAGAGTAGCTCCGATGGTAGGCAAGATTAGAAAGAGTCACCTTAGATGGTTTGGTCACATTAAACGTCGAGCATCTGACGATCTAATTAGGAGAGTAGATGTTCTAGATTTGACTGATGTTAAAAAAGGTAGAGGTTGACCTAAAAAGACTTGGGCATGTTGTATAGAAAATGATCTTAATTTGTGATAGCTAATGAAAATATGACACTTAATCGGACATAATAGAGAAAAATGCTTCATATAGCTGAACCCACTTAGTGGGAAAAAGGTTTGTTGTTCTTATTCTTGAAATATTTGAATATTATCATTATAAATTTAATTGAACTTTAACTTTATAATTTTCTTATCTGAACAAGAACTTTAACAATTTCTTAAATAAAATTTAGTTTATTATTATTATTATTAATTTAATTTTGTCATTACTTTCGTAGCATCACTAAAGTTATAACTATATTTAATTTTATCATTACTTTCGTAGCATCACTAAAGTTATAACTATTCTATGCATTGAATGTATATACATATATTAATATTTTCCTTAATTATCTTCTAATAATTTTCATCTCCTTCAAATATAATAATACATCATCACCATAATTTGATTCATTATCGTGTTTTTTTCATTCAATGATCACTGCACAGTTTTTTTAATATTGTTAATGATTAAAATGCCAATTTAACTCTCCAATTCATTTGTCCACTTACCTTTTGTTTAAATTTATTGGCTAATAAATAAAAAATCAAAGACTTAGATTAATTAAACATCATGTTTTTCTTGTAATATAAAATTTAGCATGCTTGAAAAAACTTTTCGGTTTTACGTAATTCACATTAAAGAATAATGAATTAAAAAGCCAAATACTTCTGTAAATTATTAAATCAAATACTATTTAAAACTCACTTTTAAAGTTTGTTCAACATCTAAATTTTCATTGATCATTTTCTATTATCTTCCTCTTGGTTTCTCATTTTACTCATTTTTTTATAGTTATTTTTCTTGCAAAATCCTAACTAATAATTTATATATACAATCATTAGTTAATTCTAAAATTTTTAGTTTAATCTTGAATAAATAAAAATATCTTATATTGAAATATTGACTATTATATATTACACTTTTGGAAAATTTTGATGTTACCTGACCCAGCCGAAACGATCAAACCCACTAAGATCTTCAATTTGATCCCTATTCTCACATGCCTGCTCGCACAGTCACTGCGAGCACGATTCACGCACCCTCTCTCCACCTAGGCTCCTTCATAGGGCTCACACATGCTCATATGCTCCTTATTCCTCCTCTCTTGTTTATCATCGTTTACCCAAGGTTGAGTGTTGCGGCTACTCAACTGCTCGAACACGTCTACTCTAGGATGCATCTATTCGCGTAAGGGTGTCGATCCAGCGCCCGATCAACTCAAGCTTCAAGCTTATCCCTGCGCCGGTCTCTCCCAATCTCTTTCCGTCTCCCTCTCCCTCACTTGTCCCTTCAGTTTCATACAGAGGAGTTGTACCATCACCTTCGTCCCCTTCTCAATAATGAGGTACTACTATTATCGGTTTGGCAAACCGAAACTAGGCAGTTTTGAGTCTCTCTCTCTCTCAACCAGACATTTTAGTAAATATGCACATCCAACCGGATTTTAAAAGGAAAGAAAATTACAAATAGTAATTATAAATTTGAAATATGTGAGAAAATATTGTAATGCCTCAATAACAGTGAACAAAAATAACGATGATAAAATACATAATCAGAAACATGAAACAATAAAAAAGAAATGAAAAAGAACCCCGATAAAAATTTTTAACTTACAATGGAAAAACAGATTCAACCCCAACTCCAGCCACCAATCTACGCAATCTAAATGTACTATTCAGACCAGCATTCCGTCTCGCTATTACAATACCTTTTAATATCGAAACACGGCGTTTGTTCTCAGGCACCTCCTGCTCAGGTTAATGATCATATTCAAAACCATAACAAAACAATTTATTTACAGAAGAAATGTAGCAGTTAAAATGGATGTATAAAGCTCAAAAAAATTGAGGAATTTACATATGTAGCACACAATTCTTATGTATTTAGTATTTACATATCTCACACCTAAACTTCCATATTTACATACATACCACTTTGGTATTTTAAACATATGCATGAAAAGATGTATTTGACTCTTAAAAAGTGATAATAGTGTTATTTTTTTATGTGATATTAATGATGTAAGTGCTATGTGTGTAAATATGAAAGTTTAGATGTGCGATATGTAAATACATAACAATTGTGTGCTATGTATGTAAATGCCTCAAAAATTAAATGCTTGAAAACAATAACAGATGAGTGAAACAGATATTTATACCCTACCACTTTCAACTGCACAATATAACCAGGTTTTATTTCCAGAATCTCTCTCTCAGCCTTTACTTTCTCCACAGCTTCCTTATCTAATATCTAGAAATAGACGACCATAGAAACCATAATAAATAAGATCTGTCAAAATCTAAGATTATTGACTTAAGATCACATTAAGAGCTTGTTTGGAACAGCATTTTTGGTGCAGTGGCGTTTTGAAAACGCACATGGTCTGTTTGGGTAAACTGCGTTTTTAAAGCTTATGCGTTTTCAAAAAAAGCGTTTTCACACCGCACCTATCTAGATGCGGTGACAACTTTTTGGCAACGGTCTGGCTTTTCCAAAAAAAATGAAAATTTGTAATAACCACCGCACCTAGCTTATCAGCAAATTATTTTTAATCAGTTTATCAGCAGGTTATCAAATAAGTTGTAGCTGTCCCAAACAGACCCTAAATTAGCAACGAATTACTCATGCGCGCGTAAAATTCATGATTTTTAATCATCTAAAGGTCGTCATCCAAGTATAAGAGAGACTTACATTCATTATATGCTTTGCTGTTTTATCAAGTCTCTTAAATTTGATTCGCTGGGGCCGCTCCAAATCAAGTGGTGGATCAGAGGAGCCAAGTGTTGTCATGGGTCTTAATGAAGTATTTTTGCAAACGCCAAGATGGTTTATTGTGTAATTAGACTGCTGTAACTCACGCCTATGCAACTTGCCTTCCTTTAAAAAAAGGTAAAATAAAATAGATCCGCTTACATAAATAAGAACTAAAGAGATAAAAAAGAAGCATTTATTCCATCACAACAACAGCTCCAAAGAGAAATAGTACCAAAATTTTGCTGGAAATTATAATTTACAAGAATATATTTAAGCATTATATGCCTTCCAATGATAGTGAATCTGAGTTTAAATGGACAGCAATGCAGAATCTCAAATTAAGTAGAATGTACACGCTGAAAAAGAAAGAGGAAGCGGATAAAAGTTATTGTATCCTAGAGTTTAGACACCAGGAAAAGTAATGAAATTTAAAAAAAAGAAATTCCAGGCGTACATGCATAAAGTGCAGATATTGTAGAGAATTGAGAAAGAAAATGTATTAACTGCATTAGCCAAAATTGCAAGAAATTATGGAATCAAAATCCACATAGTAATATCAAATTATAAGAAAATAGAAGTTTTGTGGATCATAGCAAAATACTATAGATATTGAACATAAGAACATTGAAATCCAAAGTTAACCCAAGGTGCTAGTCAAATAAATAAATTCCTAAAATTTACAGCATTAACAAAAAAAATTGATGATGTTGTATGGAAACCTTCATGTGCTCAATAAATGTATCATAAAGTGGGCATTGAAAATCTACAATGGACTCTGGAACATTCACGTGATTTCGAAATGGATTTTAAGAAAGTAGAAAGGATAGTCATAAAACACTAACAAGAGATTTTGCATTTTAAGAAATATTTTATGTTCAACTTGAGATTTCCCTTTAACTCAACCACTATGGTTAATTACCCTTCTGGTCAAGGGTGATCGCTTTCAATTAAAGCTAGTAAATAAGCTCCAGAACGCATCGATTTAGTAGCAACAATTTGCATGAAGTGAAAAAGAGATATATTGCTACTGGTAAAAGAATTAGAGGGGTTACCATAAACCAACTAAGATTTTATAGTTTCATCATCTCAGACTTAATGTTTGATCTAATTAATTTAAAAAATAAGTGACCCAACATCACCAAAAATTCCTTAACAGCAGCTAAAAGTTGTTTCGCCAAGACAGCCTCATAAATATGAGACAAAATGTTGTTGAAAAGAATAATTTTAAGTTTATATTTGTTATCGGAGTAACTACAAATCCAATTAAAAACTCATGGTTTTTATTGTCCCAAACTATTATAAATTCTAATATACTTAACTGACAAAGATAGTCAACCCAACATAACCGAATAATCTATATCAACAACCAAGCATTGTCTCGTTCATGAAGGCATCATAAACAGGAAGACAAATCTTGTTTAAAGTAATATTTTAAAGTCTACCTTCTCTACCTTCGCTCATAGAGATTATCGTGCCCTCTCCAATGTGTATCATCACTCACAACAACTAGACTTGGATATTATAAAACTTAAGGGCTTAGCTTGTAACTATAATAAAATATAATTATCATGTCAGGCTAACTACTATGCCGGAGGACATGCCATGCCTTTACTAGCGCAAGAATTTTAAGTGTGACCACATTGATACATTTAATAATCCAATGGCTTTTGTGAGGTTTGGTTAAATTTAAATTTACCACATTTGCCAAATCGGTGAGAATGATGGTTTGATGTGTTATTGCATTAGCATTTTGTTTTCTATATTTTAAGGGGACAAGGCTTAAACAATGCTCTCTCTAGTCATGATTTGCAATTATTGTGCCCATCATTAGGAAAAAAAGCTTGAAATGTAATTCCTTTGGAATTTAAGAGGCATCTTGTGATAGGAACCCTTTGGATTATAATTGACTAACCATTCCACCATGAAGGCTCAAAGTATTGGGAGTCTGATTTTGGAGATGAACCCCTCTGGTTAAAATTTCTTGATAATTGAACTCATCATCGAGATGAGGCCCAAAGTGTTTGCTCTATGATCAAGGGGTTGATTTAGACAATGCATCCCTCTTGTTATAATAATCTAGGAATGAAAGTAAAATTGGAGAGAGGTTCAAAATGCTAACCATTATAAATGGGAGCTTTATTTTCATAATGAACCCCTCAGACTGTTATATTCGAATATCATATTCAATATATGCAGATGACAAATCTCTTAGTTGAAGATAAAGACCATATTAAATTAAAATCTTCAATGTAATCATGAACTTCTTGAAATGATTGGAAATCTAATTTTCTTAGCATTGTTAAGACTTCTCAAACTTGAGAGGCATTAGAACAATAGCTTGACCATTAGGCATGTTGAGTGGGGGTCGACCCAAAATAGTCATCTTTTGTCTTGTTGACGAGGAAGATTGGGAATAGTTCTAAAAGAAGACCATTTTTATCCCACTCAACCCTAAGCTAGCGAAGTGTTGCATTTCAAGCTCAATTTGTTGAGGCCCTATTGAAGCTTCTTAAACGGTTGAAGATATTAATTCTATAGCAATATGGGCATTAAACATCGGTGTGGATGTTAACCCCTCTAGCTATAATATTTCAATAACTTTGCTGCCATCAAGGACTTCTAATTTTTAGACTTGTTACTCAATTTGTCATAAGAAGTTCCAATGATTTTACTAGTGTTTTCAGTTATGATATAGATTCCATCCATTGTAAATTTAAGAGGATTGTACAAAATTGACTTGCCGTTGATGTCAAATCAGAGATTGAAAAGAATTTAATGCATGGTCGATCAAGAGAATATAGCTTGAAGGATTTATTTTTGTAGTCATGGTTTGATCTTGAAGACAAAATATTTATATGCAAATTGAGGCAACGAGTATTTGCATCCGTGGTATGAATCATACAAACTTGTCTTCATTTTTTTTTTTTACATTTTTTTTTTAGGCGGTCTTTTTCACTTCCGATGATATTTGATATTTGTCCAATCCTTAAATTTAGCTTGGGATTATTTCTTTGACCATGTCAGCTCTACTACTTACATGCAGATGATAAGGCCTCGGACAATCATCAGCTGTTCTCAACTCTGTTCTTTTCACAGAGAGGACCAGGATTACTGACAGTTCCTTATAACACAAAACAAAAAAGAAGCACTTACATACATCCTACTCAATTCCTATATTTACATATTAACACCTAAACTTCATCTTTTTATGCATTGGTAAGGCGGTATATATATCAAAATTAAATTTTAGGTGTTAGATATGTAAATACACAGAAACTAAGTGGTAAGTGTGTAAATTTTCCAACATAAAAACATGGAAAGAACTGAATTCAGATTACATACTGTGACTGAGAAATTCTTCGGAAGAAACGCAAAAGAATGATTTCTTTTGTAAATTGCTACTCCTTCAGACATAGTAAGGTTTAGATTCAGTGCTGACATTTTGGTATTCAATAAGATCTCCGAAGCTGTTGAATGAGCAACTTTATGGTTAGCCAGATGATTTCCAAATCCACGACAACTTCTCCAAAACATTTGCATCCTTCTTAATGGTTCAACAACTGAAAAGTAATGATGTTAGATTTGGTATATAAGAGTTCAATCACTGAAAATCCAATTTATTAAAAACAGAAAGTTTATGAATCATTAATGGAGGAACTCAAACAATAGTACAACAGCATATCTTAGATATAAGCTGCAATCCTATTGATCAGTTATCTATTGAAATATCACCTATATATGGAAATTGAAGACTGGATAAACTTGTGATGAAAAGTCTAGGGAAATTACATAGATACCACACAATTCTTATGAATTTACATATCCAATGCCCGAACTTTCATATTTACATACATAATATTCAAATCTTTGACATCCCATAAAAAATAGCATTATCATTAAATTTTCTGGAAATCTAGGAGGATCCGCCTCCTTCCAAGAATGGGCCCAGGCCGACCATTCAAGGAATCATGGATGGGTTAATAGGAGACAATTTGTGGAACTCCTTGATTAGTTTTTATTCTCTCCATATTTACGTTTATTTCAAAATTATTTTATTTCCATATTTAGGCTAGAGATATTTGGAGAGATTGTCAATTATGTGGGAATGGTTTCCCTATATATGTAGTTTTATGGTTGAAGATTGGTAATAAGAACTAACTGAATAATCTCTCCCAAATTTTTCATCATGGTACCAAAGCATTTTCAATTTTTTCGTCTATATCCGCTTCGTTTGGCATCATCTAAATCTCCGATCTCATTCGAAGGCTTCGTCTGATTTGAACGACACTGCAAGGCTTTGAACGGCATCTTCTTCCAGCGTAGTCTGTGTCGATTGAATGAATTGGCATTTTCGGCTTCGTCGTCTGCATTCTGAGACGTCTTCGTCATCATCTGCACTTCAAAAGAAGCTTTCCAGTTACAAGCAAACAAACCCTAGCTCTCCTTCAGCCTGTAGGCCCTTCTCTGCTCGCTCCTAGAGCCGTCAAAGCCTCTCCAACAGCCGTCCAGCAGATGGAATCCTCCCTGCAGTCGTTGAAATCTCTCCAGTCAGCTTGTAGGCCCTCCTCTGCTCCTTATCATAGCCATCAAAATCCATTCCTACAACAAGCAACAACCAATTCACTTATCCATTTACTTGTGAAGTTCTTGCTGAAGTTATAGGAGAAGAGAGTAGAAAGAAGCTTATGATGACTAGAAATAAGGGTACACCAAGTGTTTAAAGCTCGGCTCTATACTCCCATAATTCTTCCTTTGATTCAAAATTCAAAAATAATCATCCCACATGTGACTATTGCAAGAAAATTGGGTATCTGAAAGAAAAATATTGGAAATTCCATAGAAAGCCTGATGATTGGAAACTTATAAATGGAAGGAAAGAACAAGAGACCGGTAAGGTTGATGTTGCAACCACTTCTGAAGGGTCGGCTCGCCCATTCACCAAGGAACAGATTGACATACTAAAAAAACACATTGGGGGTAGTTCAGAATAACACACCAGTCTCATGGCACCAAAATAATATATCATTCTCCCATCTTACCAAAAATGGAAGATTTAGCTTTAGATCATAGATTTAGGAGCTTCTGCTCATATGATTAGAGACACCAATGCTTTAGCCAACTATTAAGAGGCTATACATCTAGATCTATCAGCCTTGCACATGGATCACTCTCAAAAATTACTGAAAAAGAAGATGTAGAGTTCTCTCAGACTATTACTTTCTTATGTTTTATATGTTCCATAGTTGGATTATAATTTAATTCAACAGTAAGCTTACTCAAGATATGAAATGTGCAATTAAATTTCTCACACTTGTAAATTTCAAGTAGTGGATTCGGAAGAAGTGATTGGTAGTGTTGAAATGCATCAAGGTTTATGCATGCTCAACGAAAGTCTCTCCTTAAACACAAGTGGTCCCACCTCTATCTATTCCTCAAGTCTCTAAGACAATTGAGTCTGTCTATTGAGAACAAGTCATGTTATGACATTAATGTCTAATTCATCCTAATTTCAATTATATTGAACTGTTATATCATCATTTGTTTATCAATACAAAATTATGTACTTATCAATATGAGATTTATCGACTTGTCAAACACGCTAGAAATGATTATCCAATGACCAAGTAGAAACCCTCACATCTTTTTTTTCTATTATTCATAGTGATATTTGTAACACTGCCGATGTCGGTCTCAAGCCCGGATGAGAAAAGTGGAGGGTTGCGTTAGGTAGTCGACAGCCAGCGTAAAACTTGTCGAAAAAATCATGACATGAATCCTTTTGATCATTGTGTAAGTGCTAGGGCGTCCCCTGGAAGCGACGCGCTGTATAGCCTGAATACAGTGAAAAGTGTGCAAGGGCCGCTATACCGGCGCCCGTCCATCAAATTCTAAAATAATTTTTTGGGGAAGCAACACTCACTGTAACATACCTTATCAATTGAATGTTTAGTCGAGTACTTAGTTTCAAAACACTGCTTCATATTTCAATGTAGAACTTTCTCCTCTAATCCAACACTTAAAACTTTTTTGGTGTGAATCTTTTGTTCACATCCATTCCCCAAATTGCACAAAACTTGATCTTAAATTTATCAGGAGTATTTTTCTTAGGTATGCCTCCAACAAAAAGGACTATAACCCGTCTGTTAACATAAAATAATACAACCCCATTGATGTCACATTATTTGAAAATCAATCTTAATATCGAAAATTTGATGTTTAGGGGGAGAGTGCAAATGAACATCAATTTTGAGATGTACTTAATGACACCTATGATGCCTGACAACATACCCCTCTCCCACCTAAATCTTTTATCTCCCAAACACCATTGCATAAAAATACCCTACTTAAGGATTGTCCAAGCAACCGAACCTAAAGTTCATAACAAAGGACTTTGTGTGTACACAAGGAAGAAATTTTTTTAGCAAAAGAAAGACAACATGCAAGACAGAACTGCTCAAACCAAAAATCGAGGCCACACCTACCTGAAATCTTGAGTGAGTCTATAACTCATGAGTGATTTCCTTCATCTTATGGTGTTGATGACAATGAAAGTTATAAAAAACATCCGATTCAAGTATATGTAGCATATAACAAGCTATCCTCACCCTATAAAACTTTTGTATCTAACCTTGATGATGTGTAGGTTCTGAAATTCATTCATTAAGCTCTTATAAATCAAGAATGGATAAAAGTAGTTGAAGAAAAGATTCAAGCACTAAAGCCTAATGACAGGATTATTACTAAAATTTCTCAAGATAAGAGGTCAGTTGGATGCAAACAAGTATTCAACATCAATCACAGAATCGATGGTAGTATTGAGAGATTCAAAGCTAAACTGGTTGTAAAAGGTTTCACTCAAATCTATGAACTGACTTTCAGAAAGACTTTGCATCAATTGTGAAATTGAACACTATCAAAGTTCTCTCAATAGCAGTTAACAAAGAGTGGGGATTGCATCAACTTGACATAAAAAATATCTTCCTGAAACATAATCTTGATGAAAAAATGTACATGGAAATACCACCATGACTCGAGAAAAATTTCAATAAACACCTATCATGCAAACTCATGAAGTCTCTCTACGACCTTAAACAAACACCAAGGGCATGGTTTGAAAGATTTGCTAAGACTATGAAACCTCATGAATATTCTTAATGTCAAGTTGATCATATCTCTTCATAAACATACTCAGAGAGTAAGATTGTTACACCGATAGTATATATGAATAAAATGATTCTTATTTGTGATGATAAAAGATAATACTTAAATCAGAGAAGTGTTTGTCACTAAATTTGAAATTAAAGATCCGAGAGCAATGAGATATTTCCTAGGCATGGATGTAGCAAGGTCAAAAAAGGACATTGTTATAACAAAGAGGAAATATATCTTATATTTGTTAAATGAGACGGGGATGATTGGATGCAAACCTACTGATACTCCAACGGATCCCAATAAGAAGTCTAATAAAGGAGAAGAAATATATAATTGTACATAAGGGAAGATATCAAAGATTGCTATGATAACTCATCTACCTATCACATATTAGACCAGATATTGCATACTTTGTCAGTATTGTGAGCCAACATATTAATAACTCAAATGAAGAGCATTTGGAGATGTATATGATCCTAAAATTTCTCCAGAAAACTTCTTGTTATAGATTAATTTTTGAGATAATCAAAAACATAGAGGTAGAAGTCTACACTAATGCAAGTTGTGTTGGGAAACTCACTTACAAAAGATCCACCACAAGTTATTGTTTTTGTGTATGGGGAAATTTGGTCACATGGAGAAATAATAAGCAAGTTGTTATCTCTGGAAGCAGTGCAAAATCAGAATATAGGGCACTTCCCATAGGAATCTATGAAGGAATCTGAATTCAAAATTTATTGAGGAAATTGAGATGTACCTCTAATAAGCCTATACAAATGTTTTGTGACAGTCAAGCAAATATCAGTATTGTCAAGAATATTGTGCATCATAATAGAATAAAACATATTGAAATTGATAGACACTTTATCTCTGAAAAACTTAATGGTCGAATTATACAACAAAGCTGCATTTCGTCACACAAACAAGTTATTAATGTCTTCGTCGAAACTCTTCCCCTAAGCAACTTCCCAGAGTTTAATACCAAGTTTGGTCTACAACATCTACAACCCAACTTGAGAGATAGTGTGAAAATCTAAGAGGATCAGCCTCCTTTCCATGGTGGGCAGAGGCCAAACATCCAAAAAATGATGAATGGATTAAATAGAGACAATTTGAGAAACTCTTTGATTAGTTTGTATTCTCTTCCTATTTATGTTTATTTCAGAATAAGTTCCTTTTCATATTTAAGCTACATGTAATTTGTAAGATTGTAAATTAAGAGGGGATAATTTTCCTATATATGTAACCTTATGATTGAATATTGGTAATAAGAATTATGTGAATATTCTCTCCCACGTTTTTTTTCAATATTTAAAAATGAAATATATATTTTCATGCATATATTTTTAATATCAATGTGTTGTAAATGCAACTATTAAATTTTAAATTTTTGATATGTAAATGAAAA